TGTTGTTTCGGTCACAGATCGCGAAGTACAAGAATTGAAACAGCTTGTATTTCCTCGGGTATTGACTAAATGGGAGAAAATTCTTACAATCCATCAATCAAAACTTGACTCGTGACTTGTTCCGGAACATTCTGTATCCAATTTGACAACAGATTGAGAAAATGACGTTTATAAAGGTGATATTGAATGAGATATTATATGTTTCACATATCGATTGACAGCTGCATTTAACTAATTAATTCATAATATATATTAACGTTTATATATTTAAATAACAGTTTAAACGGTGTTAAAAATAGGGAGGATATATTTTATTTACCTTTTTTTGTTCCCAGTGTTATATCTTTCTCATCTTCTCTTCTCCATTTAATTTTAGGAGCGGGAGATCCTGATGCTGAACACCTCAAACCTATATCACCACCTTCTCTAACTTCGCTATCAGAGCTTGTATTTTCTTCTTCAATTTTTGGTGGGACTATAAATTTAAAAGGCAGAAAATTTATCATTTTATGGCCCCGTTTTTAATGCCAAATTTTAATTATAGGTAGGATACAGTACTTAAATAGTTATTCAAGCTAGCTGTAGAAACAATGGAAAGATAAACATAAATCCAGAATTGTTATGGGGGAGTATCGACCCCTCCAGTAACAATTATAAATCCTCTAACAATACACTAAAAGTGCCATGAATGCATTAATAATAAAGTTATAAAATTACACAGTTGTGTTTAATGTACTGTAATGAATATTAGATTCAACTGATTGAGTTTATTGTCATACGAAAACAAAATTAAATGTTTGTATGACGTTTCTTCGTAAAATTTAAAAGCGTGTTAACATTAACGACTTAATTAATTCAATTTATATATATATTTATTGATAGGAATTTATTATTTTTAATGCTTATAAACGTATTAATTGCACATATTCAACACCATAAATTTTTACTGAATTATGTACAACTTTATGAATTCTAGAGGTAATTAATAAGTTAATTTCCAGCTTAATTCGATAATTTAGAAATGGGGACGTATTTATACTAAAACATCAAGAATTTTTTACACGTTTATATTAATTTACACCACGTAAATGTGTGGTTTTGGTTCTACAGTTTATATTTTAGATTATATTTATGAATTAAAACATAAGTGATGTGTAAATTCTCTACATATCTGCGTCAATTTTACATCATGTTTACATTTCTGTTATTATAAAACGTGAAACCGACGTCAAATTAACGTAAAAGAATACAATATCTATTAAACAGTTAATCCTTAAAGTGTAAGTTCAGGATAAAAGTCATATTTACCTATTAATTAATGATGTAGATATGTAATTTTAATCTTAAAACTCACTTTAAAGCGATAATTTATTAAAACTCACTTAATTAATTAATATATAAACATAAAGGACACTAGTTTTGTTAGGAGAGTGTAAAATCTGACGTCAATTTGACGTCATTTTCGTACAATTATAACGAGAAAGTGTGAAAATGGCGTAACATTTACCTATAAGTATGTAAAATTATATTATTGAGCTGCAATTTTCAAATTGCAAACTCATATATTCTCATCGCTTACTCTCTGTCCTTCATTTATCTCGAAAACGGAGTTATATAAATGAAAATCAAGACCATGTGTGGAAAGCTTAGAGACTCCAATTAGCTATATACACATTTCACGTATGGACCGAAAGTCACGTAATTTCAATTTAAAATTTTCCCTAGAACGGAGTTAGGTGACTCGATTGTTATCAGGGGAAGTATGATGTACAGGGGCAAGATACTATTGATACTAAAATCGAGACCCGATATGGAAAGTTTAGGGGCCAGAAGTTCCAAACTTCCTGTCTGGATAGGAAGTCACGTGATTTTTTAAATTAAAGTATAATTAAAAATTGCATTACTGCATTGTGAAAACTTCTATCCCAAAAAATAGGAAAAACTCTTATAAAAATCCAAATAAAATCAAGTGTAGCTCATAGATTTAATTGGGAATTAATTATGTTAGATCACGAATGTATTAATTGAAATAACGTCTAATCTACACTGAAACATTAACAGGGGATTACTTTTTTCTTATACATGTATATAAACTCAATTGACCTTACTATGCAATTAACCTTATTTGAAATCCGTATTAATAAGATCCTATTCCTTAATAGGATTTGAACGATGATAGTTCAGTTGTATAAAGAAGAAAATGATCTTGCCAACTAATTTTAACAATTGCAGGAACTTTTATTTTTCTTTGTAAAGCTCACAAGAGAGGAGGAGGAGGAGGAGGAGGAGGAGGAGAAAAAGAAGAAGGAGGAGGAAGAGAAAAGAGGAGGGAAAAAAACGAAAACTCCTTCTTTTACCTGCTTAATCTAATATGTTTGATAGGATTTAATAGGATTATTACGTGCGAAGGCGATTTACCTAAATTCTAGATTTATCAGATCATACCTTCGTATCGATCAATCTCACTAAAAATTCTACGTTGCGGAAGTGTCAATCGTTGTCTAGATTGTAAAGTGAAGCGATTAACGTTCAAATTTTCTTATATATTTTTTTAAAATAATAATAAAAGAATTTAAATTTTATGTTAACGTAAAAATTTTAAGGTAAAAATAGTAAAATTTTTAATATAAAAATAAATCATTTGATGCTATGAAGCTGTTGAGTTGACAGCTTGATGCGGGTCTTTTAAAAGCGTTTTAAATAATTTAATATAAATTTTTAAGCGTCGAAATTGCTTAAATATATTCTAGAAGACGTAATTATGAGTAAAATAATAGAACTTTACTAAATTTTTAGTTTAAAATCGTTTATAAATTGAATATACTTTCAAGCCCTAAAGGTGAGTTGACAGCGTGATGAGAGTCTTTTAAATGACTTAATATATATTTTAAGCATTAGTATTGTTTAAGCACATTCTAAAAGACGTAATTATGAGTAAAAATAATAGAATTTTACCAATTTTTTAGTGTAAAATCATTTATAAACTAAACAGATTCTCCGGTCTTAAATTTGCCTAATTTAGTAAGTTTCTAGGTTAGAAAATGTCTTAAAATTTTTGAAATATCTCCAAGTATTTTAAGAAAAAGTCATTAATTTTGTATTAAGAAAGGCTTGTATATTTATCTTGATTATAAACAGCGAAGAAGTGATGATCACATTTGCAATAATGAACAGCTTTCTTCACAAATTAATACAAACACCGACTAAGGGAAATTACAGAAAATATTACTAAATCCCTCTGTTAATATAATTATTTTAAGTATTTAAATTCGAAAATATTTAAAAATTTTTCTTCGAATTAATCCAATTTAATTAATTCATTAAATAAGTTTGGAACAAGTTACAGATACACTTTATGAAAATGCTTATTATTCAACTTAATACATCAATTATTAAAATACAGTAATCAGTAAACTTCAGTAATCAATTAAAAGCTGTTTAGAAATGGCTTTGCATAGGTTTACACTAATTAAACAGCATCAATATCGCAAAGTTTCACAAACTGGGTATTAGAATAAACACTATATTCATATTTTAGATGGCAACAGGAAAGTTGCTTTGGGAATTTATCTTGTAAATTTGTTGAATTTATTGTTTTTATTATCAAATTATGTTTAATTTTACGTTTGAAACCTTCAGTAATTTCATAAAAGTCAATTATTCTGCGTTAGAACTTACGTATTTTTACCTTTATAAGCTTCTAAAAAGTCGCTATTAATGTTGTTGTATGTAACAGAGGAAAAGTATGGCAAAAGGTCGCACAAAATGATCTCCTCTCCTTAGAGGCATTTACATTTTTCAAATGACCAGAAATGCAAAAATTTGGGTGTTTATTCCTGTATGTATGGATGTAGTGTGTGGGGGGCACGATTGTGTTTACCCAGTTAAAGCTTAATAACTCTTGTGTATTTTACTCAAAATTTTTGAAATTTTGCCGAGAGGTTTGATTGTTAAGTACATTGAAGCCATTAAATTTTGGTGATTAAAGGTCAAGAGATTGAGGAGATAGAAGGGATCATGTGTCGTATCTCAAATGGGATCAAAAGATTTTACTCGTTATTAGCATTTACAATTTCTTTTTTAAAAATAAAACTTGTCTGTATACTCGAAATTAAGCTTTTTACAATAATTAATAATATAACAAGTTTTTAAAACAAAATCTCCTAACAGATGGCGCCACACACAATTTTAACTTTTTCTCCGGGAAAGTTGCACAACACGTTGTCGAATTTTTAATAACGTAAACGTAGAAGTTATGAAACAATTTACCTTATTTTAAATCTTTTTACTTTATAAATTAAAATATTTATACAATTTTTACACTTATTTATTAATATTAAAACAAAAATATTATTTAAAAATTTATTGTGTAATTTGTAATTCATTTATACATAATTAATTGATGTAAATAACGTAATTTATAATTGTAATAATTGATAACAACGTTGAATTTTATTGTTATAAATTAAATACATTTTTACAGAAAACATGGCCGATAAACATATTTAAAATTGTCATAAATCAGCAGTCTCTAAATAAATCCTTTGCGTAAAAATAATTGACAATTTATAAAATGTTCAATTACTTCACAGGAAAATTGTCAATATCAACTAAAGTAATTGGCATTTTAAGAAAATGTCAGTTCGTTTTATCGAAGATTGCCCATTTAAATAGAGAAATTGACATTTTTTGATATTTTAAATGGAAATAAAACACAATTGAAACATTTTTTTAATTTTTGGATCAGTAATTGAGTTTTTTAAAAAATGTCAATTGCTTTTTTAAAAAACTGTTAATTTTAGTATAGAAATTAGCCTTTCAAAAATTGACAATTTTTCTAAACAACTGGTATTTTCATAAATTACCTACTTCTTCAAAAAGTTATTTTTCACAAAAAACTTCATATTTTTTAAAGTCAATGTGACATTAAAAAATCAATTCTTTTATTAAAATTTGTTTATCACAGAAATTAATATTTTGAAAAATGTCAATTGCTCAAAATTTTGCATTTTTTGAAAATGTCAATTGCTCAAAATTTTGCACTTTTTAAAAAATGTCAATTGCTCAAAATTGTGCATTTTTTAAAACTGTCAATTGCTCAAAATGTTGCATTTTTTAAAAATCTCAATTGCTAAAAATTTTGCATTTTTTGAAAATGTCAATTGCTCAAAATTTTGCACTTTTTAAAAAATGTCAATTGCTCAAAATTGTGCATTTTTTAAAACTGTCAATTGCTCAAAATGTTGCATTTTTTAAAAATCTCAATTGCTAAAAATTTTGCATTTTTTGAAAATGTCAATTGCTCAAAATTTTGCACTTTTTAAAAAATGTCAATTGCTCAAAATTGTGCATTTTTTAAAACTGTCAATTGCTCAAAATGTTGCATTTTTTAAAAATCTCAATTGCTCAAAATTTTGCATTTTTAAAAATGTCAATCGCTCAAAAATTTGCATTTTTTTAAAACGTTAACTTTGACCATGGAATTGACATTTTAAAATTTTGCGTTTCTCACATTAAAATTGGCATTATTCTTAAAATATTGTTAATTGTATTAACCTTACATACAACGTATTCATTTTATTTATAAAAATTACAATTTTCTTTGTTATAATTTTGGAAGTTTGCTAATTTCAAAACTTTTATAAATTCTATAGAATTAATATTTAAAATTATTATACAGTAATAATATAGATTATAGATTAATTATAAAGAATTTTATTATGAATTAAGAGCGTTTACAAACAATAAACTATCAAAATCACTGCATTTTATATGATAACTAGATAGCAATTTCAGTGTATTTAATTCATAAATTTAAATTATACGACTTATTACGTTGTAAATTTATTAAATATTTAATTAATTTTAACTTTTCAGATAATAAAATCATAGATAAATGTAAGAAATTTCCACACATTTAATTTTTATACTTAAAAAAAATGTAAGATAAATGAAATAAAAATTCCTGAATAATTTAAAGCATTTTACAAGCGTTAAAGAATCATTTTTCTAGATTTTTTTAAAAGCTAATTTATACAAGTGGTGTGATTGGCGATTTATTTAACCACATTACGTATATTAAACTTTCACAGTTATTATTATTAATGTGTTAAATGCATTCAGCGCTATTGTTAATGGTGAAAACGTATGGGAATAGCCTGGTTGAATAATAAAATAGACTTATTAACTCATTATAAATTGATTATACTGATAAATATAAGAGGGAAACCAACCGTTTTGGCATTATTAAAGAGAGCATTCATTATTATGATGGAAAGCTTGATAAAAATGAAGTATAAAGCGATAGTGTAAAGCGTTGTGCCTGTCTAGCTCGTGCATACGTTACTGTACTACCTTACTCGTTATTATAAAATTTTTAAAAAATATTTAAGATATATATTTATATAATTTTATCACACTATTTTGTTCATTAATGAAGAAACAATTATATAAAATTATGCATAAAAGTCAAAATTATGTATGTAAGATAAAGAGTTCAATACCGTTCAATGTATCTGCACCAAATTTAAAAGAATATTCTTCCACGCACTAGAAAATAGTGTGGGATTCTACACCAATCACCCATAAAGCCCATCCCCTTAAGTCCAAACAGTTTTTTGTGTTCTGCAGTTTCATTATCGTAATTACTTAGGTCAATAAATGTACATTTTAGTTACTAAGACCATTGTTTTTATCACTAATCCTCATCCCCTTAAAATCCCGAATAACGCTGAGCACATACAGCTAGTTTGCTTATATAGTATAGAAGAATATGTGTTATATGGGGGATATAGAGGAATGGAGCTATTTTTGAGAGCCCCAATATATCATATAAAACTGCACACAAAGAGCCCCAACACGTGTCATACAACATTAAAATGAAGTGTTTGTTTCTTCGAGTAGCAGGAATGACAAACATGTCTCCATCCTTCATAAAACTGCTTAAGGGTAGATTTAGGAGGTACAGAGTGTCTGCTGCACCCCTTCTGAGAAATTTTTTCGTGTAAAGCCTCAGGTGATAAGGCATGTTGTTTCCTTTCTGCACCACCCTCTAAAGATTTCTGGATCCTTTATTACTCTTACACACAGATAGTTTCTTACTATCCACATACCAAAGGCCCAAATACTAGGCTAATGTTAACGAGTTTCAAGATCCAAGGCTCACTTTGAATCAAGGGTCGGTGGGCATTGGATCAAATTTTACCAGAGAGGCTCCGAATGACAGTAATATTTACCTCACTATTTTTATTTTCATAATTATAATTATAGAACAGCAAATAAATGCTTCAAATAATAATAATAATAAATTTAAATTAACTAATTGAATAAAGACGATTTAATGTTCAAATAATTCAAAAAGATAAACACAATTAAAATCAAGAAAAGTTTACAATTAAAGTAGAAAAAATACAAAAAATACAGTTTCAAATTAAACGTCTTCACAATTTTTAATCGCATTTTTTATTTAAAATATATGCTCTCCATCTCAAATTATCAGTATGTTGCTCCTGTAAATCACACTTTTCCTGATAACAACAGAGTCATGCCAGTCATTTATGTAACACCATTCTGGGGAAAATTTTTGAATNAAACAATTGTTGTAACAGATGCTTTTTTATTATTATTATTTTTTATATAAAATAATCTTTTACTCAAAGTATAAATAATCACTTTCTAAACTATTCTAGTAGCATAATATTAGAGAGAAAGAAGTAGTAGACATGGAGAAACATTTGAGAGTGAAATTTTTGCAGACGCAAATTGACAAATGTTGTTTCGGTCACAGATCGCGAAGTACAAGAATTGAAACAGCTTGTATTTCCTCGGGTATTGACTAAATGGGAGAAAATTCTTACAATCCATCAATCAAAACTTGACTCGTGACTTGTTCCGGAACATTCTGTATCCAATTTGACAACAGATTGAGAAAATGACGTTTATAAAGGTGATATTGAATGAGATATTATATGTTTCACATATCGATTGACAGCTGCATTTAACTAATTAATTCATAATATATATTAACGTTTATATATTTAAATAACAGTTTAAACGGTGTTAAAAATAGGGAGGATATATTTTATTTACCTTTTTTTGTTCCCAGTGTTATATCTTTCTCATCTTCTCTTCTCCATTTAATTTTAGGAGCGGGAGATCCTGATGCTGAACACCTCAAACCTATATCACCACCTTCTCTAACTTCGCTATCAGAGCTTGTATTTTCTTCTTCAATTTTTGGTGGGACTATAAATTTAAAAGGCAGAAAATTTATCATTTTATGGCCCCGTTTTTAATGCCAAATTTTAATTATAGGTAGGATACAGTACTTAAATAGTTATTCAAGCTAGCTGTAGAAACAATGGAAAGATAAACATAAATCCAGAATTGTTATGGGGGAGTATCGACCCCTCCAGTAACAATTATAAATCCTCTAACAATACACTAAAAGTGCCATGAATGCATTAATAATAAAGTTATAAAATTACACAGTTGTGTTTAATGTACTGTAATGAATATTAGATTCAACTGATTGAGTTTATTGTCATACGAAAACAAAATTAAATGTTTGTATGACGTTTCTTCGTAAAATTTAAAAGCGTGTTAACATTAACGACTTAATTAATTCAATTTATATATATATTTATTGATAGGAATTTATTATTTTTAATGCTTATAAACGTATTAATTGCACATATTCAACACCATAAATTTTTACTGAATTATGTACAACTTTATGAATTCTAGAGGTAATTAATAAGTTAATTTCCAGCTTAATTCGATAATTTAGAAATGGGGACGTATTTATACTAAAACATCAAGAATTTTTTACACGTTTATATTAATTTACACCACGTAAATGTGTGGTTTTGGTTCTACAGTTTATATTTTAGATTATATTTATGAATTAAAACATAAGTGATGTGTAAATTCTCTACATATCTGCGTCAATTTTACATCATGTTTACATTTCTGTTATTATAAAACGTGAAACCGACGTCAAATTAACGTAAAAGAATACAATATCTATTAAACAGTTAATCCTTAAAGTGTAAGTTCAGGATAAAAGTCATATTTACCTATTAATTAATGATGTAGATATGTAATTTTAATCTTAAAACTCACTTTAAAGCGATAATTTATTAAAACTCACTTAATTAATTAATATATAAACATAAAGGACACTAGTTTTGTTAGGAGAGTGTAAAATCTGACGTCAATTTGACGTCATTTTCGTACAATTATAACGAGAAAGTGTGAAAATGGCGTAACATTTACCTATAAGTATGTAAAATTATATTATTGAGCTGCAATTTTCAAATTGCAAACTCATATATTCTCATCGCTTACTCTCTGTCCTTCATTTATCTCGAAAACGGAGTTATATAAATGAAAATCAAGACCATGTGTGGAAAGCTTAGAGACTCCAATTAGCTATATACACATTTCACGTATGGACCGAAAGTCACGTAATTTCAATTTAAAATTTTCCCTAGAACGGAGTTAGGTGACTCGATTGTTATCAGGGAAAGTATGATGTACAGGGGCAAGATACTATTGATACTAAAATCGAGACCCGATATGGAAAGTTTAGGGGCCAGAAGTTCCAAACTTCCTGTCTGGATAGGAAGTCACGTGATTTTTTAAATTAAAGTATAATTAAAAATTGCATTACTGCATTGTGAAAACTTCTATCCCAAAAAATAGGAAAAACTCTTATAAAAATCCAAATAAAATCAAGTGTAGCTCATAGATTTAATTGGGAATTAATTATGTTAGATCACGAATGTATTAATTGAAATAACGTCTAATCTACACTGAAACATTAACAGGGGATTACTTTTTTCTTATACATGTATATAAACTCAATTGACCTTACTATGCAATTAACCTTATTTGAAATCCGTATTAATAAGATCCTATTCCTTAATAGGATTTGAACGATGATAGTTCAGTTGTATAAAGAAGAAAATGATCTTGCCAACTAATTTTAACAATTGCAGGAACTTTTATTTTTCTTTGTAAAGCTCACAAGAGAGGAGGAGGAGGAGGAGGAGGAGGAGGAGAAAAAGAAGAAGGAGGAGGAAGAGAAAAGAGGAGGGAAAAAAACGAAAACTCCTTCTTTTACCTGCTTAATCTAATATGTTTGATAGGATTTAATAGGATTATTACGTGCGAAGGCGATTTACCTAAATTCTAGATTTATCAGATCATACCTTCGTATCGATCAATCTCACTAAAAATTCTACGTTGCGGAAGTGTCAATCGTTGTCTAGATTGTAAAGTGAAGCGATTAACGTTCAAATTTTCTTATATATTTTTTAAAAATAATAATAAAAGAATTTAAATTTTATGTTAACGTAAAAATTTTAAGGTAAAAATAGTAAAATTTTTAATATAAAAATAAATCATTTGATGCTATGAAGCTGTTGAGTTGACAGCTTGATGCGGGTCTTTTAAAAGCGTTTTAAATAATTTAATATAAATTTTTAAGCGTCGAAATTGCTTAAATATATTCTAGAAGACGTAATTATGAGTAAAATAATAGAACTTTACTAAATTTTTAGTTTAAAATCGTTTATAAATTGAATATACTTTCAAGCCCTAAAGGTGAGTTGACAGCGTGATGAGAGTCTTTTAAATGACTTAATATATATTTTAAGCATTAGTATTGTTTAAGCACATTCTAAAAGACGTAATTATGAGTAAAAATAATAGAATTTTACCAATTTTTTAGTGTAAAATCATTTATAAACTAAACAGATTCTCCGNATTATAAAACATAATAATGATAATTCTGTGAGATTAAGATACAGAAGAATTAATTTTAGAGGAGAATACAAGTATTTTATGTTTGAATAAGTTGAATAGAAATGCAATGATTTGTATCCGTTATAATGCTTAAAACCATTTTCCTCTCGTTATAGCGGGGTTATGACCTTGCTACAACGCGAAGCGAGAGAAGAGCGAGCGGAAAATTCGATTTAACGCGATGGAAGAATGAAACTTTAACGCTATAACGAGAGGAAAGCTCGATGTAATGAGAAGAATGAGAGGAGCGAGATGGAAACTCCGTATAACGATACGCAAAAGGGAAGCGAGAAAGAAACCTTAACGCTAGGAACAAAATAGGAAACTCGATATAATGAAAAGCAAGAGAAGAGAATGCAAAAAATACTCGATTTAACGATATTCAAAAAGGAAACTTTACGCTATAACAAGAAGGGAAACTCGATATAACGAGAAGCATGAGAGGATCGAGAGGGAGTCTTGATATAACGAGAAGCGAGAGGGAATCTTTTGTAATTTTTTTAACTTAAAAATCTTTAAACTTTAAACAATTTACGTAGAAAATATTCAAAAAAAAAATAAAAGTAAGTAAATTACATTTACTCGCCATAACGACACGACCGTCATTACTGGCGTATTTGAAATGCAACCGAAACTTTTATTCATTTAAGGACAAAAAAAATGTAATAATAATTTGCTTAAAACAATTATTAATTATTATATTATCGAAGAATTAATGAAGATAATTAATTTATAAACCTATTAAATACGAGATTCCATTAAAATTTTTGATGTATGATGCTGGCATCCATATATAAGAAGCCATAGATGATGACCTTTAGCAGTTAATAGTCGAAGAAAATAGGAAGAAAAATTCAATATGACGATAAATATAGATAAAACGTAAACAGTGGTAATATTCAACGAGATAACAAATTAGAAATTGGCAGAAAAATCATTAAACTGTTAATTAACTATGGTGAAGGAACATCTATAACGTTATTGATGAAGAAATCATAAAGCAAACGAAGGAAAAAATCAATAAAATGGAGTAAAGAAAAGAAAAAAAAGCAAAGTTACTAATAAAGTTATTTCTTTTAATTTTTCCTGTAGAATTAATCAATAAAAATCAGAAATTTAAGAAGAGGAAGAGGAGGAAGAAGTAAGATGCTTATAGATTAGTAATCAAAACCGCAGCAGCATACAAAAGGAAAAGGACACTATGAAAAAGTACACTCTTCACACAACATAAATGAAAATAATGTAGCAGGATTATAGATAAAATAAATGATCAGGAAACGGACAAAAATATGACAAAGTTATAAATAGAATAAATGATACCAGATTAGAAAAAAATAATAATAAAGAATGTGACCCTATAAAAGATGGATAGGTACTAACACAGAATGAATTCTCATGTGGATACAAGTAAATTGCTTAACGCCAAGAGGAAGAAAGTAGTACTTTCTGTGTGATAATTGAAGATCGTTCATAACTTAACCTCGTTATAACGACTAGCGATCCTATTGCATAAGTTTCAGCGATCATCTCTTAAATGTTTAATCATTTGCTTCAATTTGATGAGTTTATTAGCCGAGAAAAACCAATTTAAAATCTTTTACAATGTTATAGTGTAAGAAATGTTAAAGGATATTAGTGCTAATGAAATTAATAATAGTGATTGTCGTGTTATAAAGAGGGAGAAAAATAATTATTACTTTACAACCGAAGATTTTAATTAAAAATGCTGTTATGAGACTGAAAAATTGAGTTGTAATTATAGTAATAAGGTAATTATATTGTACTAATGATAAATATGTAATTTTGCCTCATTGACTGGGTTACGAAAAGATTAAAAATCGTTTTCTGGGCCACAAAAACACGTTCATTTTAGACAAACGGAATAAACAAATGATCCTCTTTTATTTTCCCGTCCCCTTGATCTTTAACCACCAGAATTTAACAACATAAATGCCTCTAACACACAAACTACCCTGAAAAATTTCAGAAATTTTTTACAACAGGCATGAGAGTTATTGAGCTTTAAACTGGACGAACAAAATCGTTCCTTCATACACACACTAACACTCGTACATACAGAAAAACCCCTAAAACTTTATACATTTCTGAGCATTTCAAGGCCCATCCCAGTACAAAAAATGTAAAAAAATCATAAAAGGGAAAAAGATTTTTCGACCGGGCGCCATACTTTCTCTCTGTTTTCTATAACAGAAATTCACTAACATAAGATATAGCATTTATAATTAAAGCATTACTAACCCCCGATATAACGACTTACTAATTGCTTTCACTCGATACAACGAGGAGAAGAAGGGGGGAGGGTTGGGATCGAGTAATTAAAATGCAATCGCTGTTCTATCTACGAGACAAGGAGAGCGCTATTATGAGAAAAGTTTCATCCTGTTAGCAGAAAGATTTCATCTAACAGGTTTGAC